CCCCAAAACCCCAAAACCCCAAAACCCCTTTTATTAAATTTTAACCTGAAATTATAAATTATTGATGTTCTTAACTAAATTCCCAAAGAAATATAGAGGCCCAATGTTAGCCAGAGCCTTTACGAGAACTCCTGGTAAAGCAAAGCTATCTTATTGTATTTAGAGCAAGTTCTGAAGAACTACAAATTGACTACTGGGTTCGAGATTCATTGCCAAATGTTGACTGAGACAAAGTTGTTCTCCAATGCTCCCACAAAAAGGTAAGCTAGATCTATTCAGAAGTCTAAAGAGCATGAATAGATGGTTTCAAATCATACCATGAGGCTCTCTGATTCCTTTTTGACCGGATTTAGGCAAAGATGTGAAGTTTCCGATTAGATTTGAATTTTTACATAATTTCAACAATTCTTATTCATGAATTTTTACTAAAAAATCACAAGATATCCTGGAATTTGATTAAATTTGCTGAATACACTTGGACATTTTGATAAAGATTCTATTCATTTTACATATTAAGCAGTTGACCTATGGTATTACTTGAGACAAGTTAGGGAGCCATGTTCTGTCTGGTTGATGGAACTGAAATTAGAGATTTGCAAAAGATAATACAATTTTTAAAAGTTAAACTAAATTTGTGTGAGTTAAAGATTCAAAATTAGCTTTAACTAATCTGAAATTTGATGATTGACTCTAGTAACGATCTGAGCAATTCATGAGCTAGCTTTGTAGATGTAGCCTTACCTGGCATGCTTCCAGTGCTGAACAAAGAATGCCTCAAAGTTGCCTTAAAAGCATCTCTCGCTCTTAAAGGAGATATCAACAAGAAAGATGGTTATGGTATAAATCAAGTCTCAGTTTTAGAAATAAGATTTGATAGGAAACATTACTTCTATCCAGATATGCCTCAAGGATATCAAATCACTCAGAAGGAACATCCAATTATGGAGAATGGCTACCTTAGATTCTACAACCGACTCAAGAAGGAGGATAAAATTGGCATTGAAAGAATTCAGATAGAGCAAGACTCTGCAAAAAGTTTCCATGATTTTCATAATTACTCAGGGATCGACTACAATCGTGCTGGCTCAGCTCTGCTTGAGATAGTAACTTTCCCAGAAATTCATCATCCCATTGATGCAAGGATTGTGGTGAGAGAGCTTCAAGAGACTTTGAAGTATCTCAATATCTCCACAGCCAATATGGAAGAGGGCCAAATGCGTTGCGATGTAAATATTTCCCTCAGGCATCGCTTTGACTCTGAGAAGTTTGGTAACAGAGTTGAGCTCAAAAACTTGCAAGGTATCAAATTCATAGAGAAAGCCATCGAAAGTGAAATTGTGAGACAAGCAACTATAATTGATTCAGGAGGATATGTCCCACTTCAAACCAGAAGATACGATGTTGACAAGAATGAGACAATCTTGTTGAGAGAGAAAGAGGATGACCTAGACTACAGATTTATGTATGACCCTGACCTTCCTTCCTATTTTATTACCCCAGAAATGATCTCAGAAGCTGAAGAACAGATAAGCAGTGTCCCATTTGATGAAAAGAAGAAACTTAGTGATAAATTTGGGTTAACTGTGGATCAAGCTCAGACAGTGTTTTCTTACCCTGAACTCTATGATTACTTCATGGAAACCTTGATTCAGCTAAATGAAATAGTAGATCCTCAGCTGGTTTACAACTACATCTTCTCTATATTCATTGGAAACTGCAGTAAGGTTCAACTTTTTATCGTGTAGCCAAGAAGAACCTCACCAATTTCAAATTCAAGGTAGGTGATTTTTCACTAGAGGTAGATCGATCAGTGCAAAACCAAAGGAAATGATAGGCTAATAGAGCTTATGCTCCTACAGGTCGAAGACAAGATCTCTTTCTCTCATGCCAAAATGGTCCTATACGAGATTATTGATGGAGACAAGAGATCTTCCTTCAACATTGCAAAGGATAGCGGCTTCATCAAAAATGAAAATACAAGCATTGAAGATATCAATGCTGTGATTGATAAAATCCTTGAAGAAAAGCAAGACATTGTTGAAAAGTTAAGAGCTGAGAATAGAAGCAATAAGAGAAAGAAGAAGCTTGGCCCTATAATGTTCTTAGTCGGCCAGGCAATGAGAGTGCTCAAAGCAGATGGAGACCCTCAGTACGTTCAAGAATACATCAGAAAGAAAGTACTTGGCAAATAATATTGAATAATTACCAATTCAATAAAGTTGAATAGTTATGGGGTTTTGGGGTTTTGGGGTTTTGGGG